GAGCTTAAGAAATTCATTTATTTTTTGTATTATAATCTAATTATATGAAAATATTTTGAACCTAATATGTGAAAATAAACACATTAAGTACGCTGCGTTGAAATAACTTAAGAGTTTAAAATAAACATTACATTTTAGTTAACATTTAGTCCTATAAGAGTGTTAAAAAAAGTAATTAAACTCGTTCTTTAAAAGGATTTTAAAAAGTATATAAACTAGTTGATTGCGGACAAAATAAAATTTATTTTTAAATAAGCTCTCTATACATTTGTTTTGAATTGTACATCCATAGTGGATTTGCTTATTCAAACTGCCTTTTTACATTTTTTCTTAAAGTTGAAGCTTGTGATAAACGCATATGCAGAGTAATTAAACCATTCCAAGCAAACAAATTTTTAAATAATTTGATTATTTTTTATATTAAATGTAGTTTAATGTAGTTTCAATTATCTTTTGTAAGTTTTTAAGAAAGCACTATAATTTTAAATTTGATTTAAAAAAAAAACAACTTTGATATTGTTTAACTGTAATGCAGTGGAGCAAGACATTTTTACCCTACATTATTTTTTTAAAGCTTTAAATATTTATTCCGTTAAACATGAAAAGTAATAAAATTAATTACAAAACCAAAAAAATGGATGAATTGATTAGCGGAAAAAAGTGTGCTCAAAACTAGCAGAATATAGTAAAATTTTACGGTGTTTCTGGCTCTAAGGGAACACCAGAAAGCCCTAAGTTTTTACCGCAGCACTTTGGTAAATGATTGTGGAAAAATTAACAATAAAATATAGTTTTATATTCTATTATAAATTTTTTTAATTTTGTCGTGATAACTTAAAGCATGGCATAAAAGCCATTTTTTCGGTTAAATTTATTTTTCAGTTTTATTTTCTTTAACTAAATGCGTGGTAATAAGAACTATAATTTTAAAAAACAGAATTTTCAAAGCAAACTTTTTCCATATGAGCAGAAAAGTTAAAAACTGAATGGTTTAAATGACTTAAATTTTGGTGTTATTATCCAGAATTACGTTGTTGTTTTTTTCTAACAAGAAATGTCATTACCCATAGTGCTGTAATATTGCCCATATTTTTTCTCCATGTGGAAAAACACTAAATGGGTCTACTTTAGTCATCTAGGGGTTTAGAAGAATCAATTATTGAATCTTTTTTTTTAATTTCAATATTAATAAGCAAAGGATAAAGTTGAAAGAGGATAATTATACTACAATGTTCTCGCTGATAGCTTTTTATAATATCAAAAGTAAAATATTAATTAAAATATTTTAATTGTGTTTTACAATAGGAGTCACAAACACATTGAATTTGAATTAAATTAAGATTCAAAGAGGTTTCACCAATATTCCTACATAGCTATTCATAACATCAAAAGTTACAACATCAAATATTAGTTAAAATATTTTATTTGCGTTTCACTATACGAGTCACGTAAACATCGAATTTGAATTAAATTAAGTTTTTTTTTACTTAGTGTGTAATAATATTTTGAAAATCAAAGTTCCCAATAAACCATTACCACATGAATAGAAAAATTACCAAATAAATGATTTAAATATCGCATAGCTTTGCTTTATTAACCAGATTTATGTTTTTTCCCAGAAATATTAGTACCATACCATACAGTTTTTTTAACCAGATTTTTATTCTCTTTGTACTAGTGAGTGGACTAATGCACTTTGAGACAAGTGAATTTCATGAACAGCGTTCTTAATAAATTTTTCTCGCTACTAAAATCTCATCATTTAAATTTATTTATTTATTTATTTTGTCGTACGCCTGTTTAGGTAGTGGGGGTGCGATAGTTCCTGTTTTTCAGTGGCGCCATCTATGGCCAGGAATTCGACTTCTGCCACGCCATTCACGCAACCACTATAAACGGGTGTTTATACAACACCTACTAGAAGGTGTTTATACAACACCTCTAGGTGGTTATGGTTTATAGGGCAGGTCACATTCACACACAAATGAGAAGGGACATAGAACACAGAGAGAGAAAAAAACATCAATGCCTTGCCCGGGATTCGAACCCAGGAACTTTCTGATGCAAGGACAGTTCCCTGCCTCCCACACAGTCCGGTCGGCATTTAAATTTATTAAAGATACACATACGAAATATTCAATTTCTTATATTTTTAATGCTAATTTTATAACTGATACAGACTTAGATAAACCTTCTTTATGAATATTTTTTACTTCAACATTACTTTAAAAATTAATAAACTTTAAAATTGTGATTTTTTACCTTTGTATGTTCACTGTTAAACTGAAATATATTATTTCTATTTCCTTTATTCATTTTTTTTCTCACAAACTTTCATTACAAAACCCATTCTTAAACAAAGGAAAATAAATTAATTTTCTGTTTTTACCCCCAGGATTGTAACTCAATATTTTTTAATTAAAGATTTCTTCCTTATCAACGATTTTCTATCCAAAACTGAAGTTCAGACAAATTGAATTTTATCATTTTATTTCACTATTATTTTTTGACATCTAAAATATGTGCTTTTAGAGTTACTTAGACTTAATTAATTTCCTTACATTAGCAGATTTTAACTTTTTTAATAATTATTCATCGGAAATAGTTAATGTGTTTACTTATTTCCGTAACTATAATCATCGTGAATGTTTTCATTCCATTATTGACATAACTTAGACATAAGTAGGTAATTGGATATAATTAATTTCTTTAAGTTTGCAGATTGCATCTTTTTGAATAATTATTCATCTGAAATAGTTAATGTGCTTACTTATTTCCGTAACTATGATCATCGTGAATGTTTTCATTCAATTATTGAACTTAAGTTTAGATTCATCAAAGGCATTATCATCGATCTTAATAAAATAGTCTAATAGTCTTTGTAATTAATTTGTGTTTAAAAATTAAATTCTGCAAAACGGGAAAAGTCAACTGAATAGTATAAATGCTTTGTAAGGGTAGAAATAAGTTAAGTTTAAGAGCATTAGGTCTTTCTAAATAAGCAATTAGTTTTGTTAAAAGGACTTTTACGTTGACTGTGAATAAATATTCATAAATAATTTTTCTTAGAAATTTAGATTATTCAATTTGTAAATTAGAAATTTATTAGTTTTTTCTTCTGTGTAAAAAATATAGTAGTTTCGTTATAGGGCTATTTGTAAAATATGAAATTTATAGTTTTATTCCTTGTCTAATGGTAAATTAGAAATTTAATATATCTATTGTATGTCTGTTTGTAAAATAGAAGTTAGACAAGCTAAACGGAAAATTAGTTAAGCGGAGGGATTATTATCGGTTAATAGAATACATCAATATTTTGCTGAATCGGAACAATAATATTTCATAGGAGCGGGTTCCCAGCCCAAACCACGGGTCGAAAGTTTAAGCCAAGACAAATTTAAATGCCAATACCAGTTTTTACCAGTTTCGTTTCACTATTCTTTGTGATGTGTGACGTCCCTTAAAAACTGTCCCTTAAGAGTGATTTGAGGCTAAGATTGTCCTCTATCATCCTACGCTCTGAAACAGTGCCAAAAATTCCATCAAGTTTTTTTTTCTGCGTGGTTATTGTTTTTAAAAACTTCGATTACTTGTTTTTGTGTTTTCTAAAAACATATTTTTTGCTTGTCTAAAATATTTTTTGTATGTATATAATATAGAGATGCCATCTGCTTGGGATTCGGCAAACTTTTTTAAGAAAACGGTAGAGAACTACAAACTAGAATTTGCAGATTTTCGGTTAATGTTGTCACTTTTTTAAACGGCTCAACAATGCTTAACTGTAAAAAAATGGCATTTCACATAAGCATTTGAATTATTTTGAAGTAGTGGTGAGTTAAAATCCTGTAAATTGAATTTACTACATCCAAAAATCATACATTAACGAATTACCACTCGAAAATATTTATTTGCTATCCAAAGGAAGTTGGCATATCTGATAATATGGTGTGCTTTTAATAATACTAATAATGATATTTAATAATACTACTAATAATATCTAATAATATTAATGATAATATTTAATAATACTAATAATAATATTTACTAATACTAATAATACTAATGATAGTATAATTTACGGCTAAGAATGTTTAAATCCTTTTAATTTTGAATACAATCCGGAAGAGAAGGAAACTCCTGGATCAAGTATTGGGTGAAACTTACCTTCATGGAGGACTCTTTGATGGAACTAACCCGGATGTTAGATGTATCTATTTTATAAACGTCGTTGAACAGACGATCCAATTTTGGGTTTAAGACTACTAATGTTCAACGCAGTAGCCTTGTAATTTTGAACCAAATCAGAGGACAAGGGAACTCTTGGATCAAGTATTGGGAGAAATTCGCTTTCGTGGAGGACTTTTTGATGGAACTAACCCGCATTTGCGTTACATGAAAAGGAAAGTCACGGAATCCTTCCACGGTTACACTGACGGCAAGAGGACTCAAGCCCATGATCCACTGAGGATCTTGTACGTCAGCACTGTGGTCGGAACAGTTTCGGTTCACCTCATTTGCAGACAAATGCTCTATCCCCTGAGACACCATGGCTCTAGATGTGTCAATTTGTCCTTATATTTTTTTTACTTGTATATTTAGTAATTAGAAGTTCTCTAAGTTTTTTTTGTTTCCTTTTCTACAAAACTGGTGATCCGCGCAACAAAAATGTTGGGAACCGCTGCTCTATAACATCGGTATCTATTTATTTACGCATTATTTTCAATATATATTTACCTGTGGAACTAAGAATGATATATTAAATTTGAATTTTTCTGTTAAAATGAAATTAATTTTTTTTTCCTAAAAGAAATATATATCTGAATAGAAATGTTCGTTTTTATTTTGTAAAACATTGATTCTTCAGTCGCACAAAATGTTTCAAATTTATCTGCAATGCTGTGAAGAACTGTGATAAATACCATGAACTTTTCCAAATGAATAGTAAAATTAACATAATCATACATTAATGCTCTTGTTTTTTTTTTCTCTTAATTTCTTAGTAATGGCAGTGAAGACAAACTGGAATGCAAAAGAGGTTACCTTCGTCTATCTGAGAGCCACGATGACATTTTTCTTGGCGATGATGGTTTTCGAAAACCGGGATCAACTCTCAGAAGTCAGCAGACTCGAGGGTTTTCTCAACTCATTTCAGCATTTAAAGAACCTCCGCTGAGACAATTGTCTACACTCTACGAGCTTACTGCCAACATGGAACCAGATTTCGGATTATTTTGCGGAAGTCTCATTTCGTCAAATTTAGGAGTTGCGTTCTATTCGTCTGGAAATAATGTCACATTATCTGTCTATTTACCACCGAGATCAGCTGTTGGAGCAACGTCTCTCATGGGCTCGTTTGGATTGTATTTAACCTACAGGTAGATTAAATACGAAACTATTATTTTCACTTGTAATTCATTATCTACCTGTATCATACAAGTAGATGAAACAAGTATTTTTTAATTGCATTTATGAGAAATATTGAAGTTGTATCTATTTCATTAATTCTGATTTTTTTTTTAAATTTTAAATTTTTTATTTATTTTAAGTAGTTTACATTAAACTGTTAATTTTCTATTTATGAAATAAATTATTTATTCAGAAACTATTTCAAAATTATTTATAGTGCATAAAATGACAGACATTTTGAATTTATTATAAAAGTATATTAAAGTAATCTAATTTAAAGATGTCCCTGTATATTAGGTGGATATAACCTAAATTTCTATCCATTTTTACTAAATCCTCTTTTTTTTCATACTCTAGAAAAAATTCAGAATCATGTTGCCGTATAAAGTAGCATCACTTTGGGTGCATCATCAGTAAAATCCATTTCACGTTAAATCTGCTTTTACTGTAAAATATTCCGTAACTTTTACAGTGATATTTATGTAATTAGAGGTATACCGGATTTCGCTTTTTGGTTCTGGTAAGAATGGATTTTATGGAAAAAAAGTAACGGTACCCTGAGTGTTCCTAATTTCTACAATAATTCGTTCTGCAATTAGTTACAGTTACATTTGACTATTACATTTGACTACTTGTTTATTTATTTCTGTTAAGTGATAAATAACATGTATTTATTTAATTGAAATTTCCTTTTCTCTCTCTCACTCACTCTCTCTCTCTCTCTCTCTCTCTCTCTCTCTCTCTCTCTCTCTCTCTCTCCATATTTATTCCATTCAAGTTTTTATTCCTTCAGATTACTTTCACAGTATGCATTTAAATCATTTTTTCTTCAAAAATAACTAACCAACAATTTTCTTTGTGAAACAATTTCTCGTGTTAAAGAAAAAGATTTAGTGGTGGCAAAATGTAAATAATAAATGCAAATAAATATATTCTTATACCCATCCAGTGAATAATTACTCTGTGGAACATTTTTTATGTTCTGTTGTATGAGATTTCTTAATCTTACAGTCTCAGGTACTTTAATTACAAATCTACAATCAGTTACTCTGTTCAAGCTACAGTTTTTTAATGACATTCTTTTGTCTATTTTATGTCAGAATGCACGAGTTTAAAAACGTTTTTTATAACAGGGGGTTATATAAAACGTTAGTATTATATAACACCCGTTAGTATTAGGGTTATATAAAACGCCTTATAAACAGTTAGGGCACATCATCAGGATTAAAATTGCATAGGAACTCCAGCCCTGATATCTCGTCATACTCAGCTAAGGGAGCCACCCTATTATGAACTGTTTTTTCTTATGCTTCTGAGCAAGTAGTGATAACAGGGAAGCGATAGGATTCGTATGGATTATTCGTATATTAATTTAGTTCTGATAATGTGCCCTTGAAATCTGTTGCAACACTTACTGATACTTCTGTTATATATAACGTTTTTAAACTCGTACATTTCAACAAAAAAATAGACTGAAAATGTTATTTAAAAAGAAATCTTTAGCCTTAGGAGTAAAACTAGTCTTAGATTTATAATCCCCACACGCAAATTAGGCAAGATCAATCATTTGTATAAATGCAACAAAAATTTATTCCGCGTTGTCCTTCTTAATACAGACAGTAGGTAGATCCTGTTTTAAACAGACAATATTTTCACTTTTTCTGTCATAGATGTTACTAATGAAAGTAACACATCTGTGCAGAACTTATCAATTTTTTAAACAGAACGCTTAATGAAATATTCACCCAGTTGGCAACATGAACTTAAAAGTTTACGCACTATCAGTTTTTGTAAGGATGAAAACTTTAAACACCCATTCGTATTAGTCAACAAGATAACTGAAATTCAAAATCCAGAATTTATCTTGCCAGTGCATGGAAAATAATATATGTTTTAATACCAAAAGTTATACTTTAAACATTCCCCGTAAATTAAATAGTTTATATATATATTTCAATTCTTGCTAAATTATTCCGGGTGTCACAAAACAGACCAATAACTTGAAAAATTATAAGAAGAAGTGTACAAGCAAACCGTATACTGTCATTCTGATTAAAACCCATAGATTTTTTATGACCAGGGAAAACTAGTTGCAAAATTCGTCAACAGATGGCGCTGTTAGATAAAAACATAACAAAAACCATGTTTTTTTCTGAATGTGGGATACTTTTAAATAAAATATATACCCATAAGTCTATTAATTTTGCCCTCAAGCTAATCTAGATTGGTGTTGTAAATTATATTTATTTTATAAATGTTTTTTTAAAGTTTTTCAAAGCTTGTGTCATCATCTGTTGTCGAAATTTTCAACTTATTTTGAAAGCTCATAAGCAAAACGCAGTAAACTATTCATTTCTTTCCGCTTTTCTTTAAATGATAGTTCAAATCGTTGCTGAGACACTCAGTACTATCAAAGTATGTATGTTTTTTCGCTTTAGTTTAAGAAAATCCGAAATTTTTTACGTTATTCAGTTTTGATTATTTATAAAGCATAGCTATGTAAGACATTTAAAGCACGGCTATTTTCATGATATAACATGTAATGTGTTTATGAAAAATTGTACTATACAACGTGGATCTTAAAAAATAGATTCAGTGATGATTTAGTCCTAAAACTCGCTTTCTATTTACATTAAACTTGTCTGAAATAGTAAACTGAGTTAACAACAATTTCGCCAAAAAAAGAGATTTAAATAATTTCCGTACAATAATTTAATAGATAATTGAAAGACAAAAGGATTATTATTTGAAATATTGATTCATACCAAGAATATGTCTTTCTTTCCTATCTTCCATTTCTTTTTCCCCCTTTTACATGTTAGATTGTAAGGATAAACAGAACCGACAAACGTGTTTAGAAAGCTACTATTAATCTTTTAAATACAAAAAATTCTACGAATTGCATAGGGAAATAAAATTTAATAATATTTCCTCTATATATAATAGAAAATTAATTCCTAAGATATCAGCACATAAGTAGGGTATAATCCGTTTAAAATCTAATACGAATCGGGTATGTTTATTTTAATCAGCTTACAATGACTTTGGGGAAAACATTATTGAGACTAATCATAATTCTATTAAAAAGAAAACAAGACTAAATTAATTAGCAAAGTTGGATAGTCTAGACATCAATAATTGCTGTGCTTTACTTTTATTTTGCCTTACGAAGAAAAGTTGAGATCATCGTATCCATTTCTGCATAAAATTAATATTTTAAAAATTTTAGTAAATATCTTATCTAATTAGAAAAATATGTTTTCATGATCTGAAAGGGATATGTTTATAATGTTTACTTTTGGTAAATTGAATTTTTATTTTATAAAAAATATTAAATCTTGCTATCTTACGTGAAAAAATTGCCTTCAACATTTTTTTTCAATAAGAGAAAAGGTTCATCAAATTGTTTTTTTCTCGATGACGAAACGAAATAAATATTTCAGAACATTATCAGATATTTTGTAAAATTAGAGATGATATAATGTTTAACATGCGAGGTTCATTACAACTTATCTTGAGTCATCGGATTTTGTTATAAGGAGATATATTTCTAATTTTTCGCAAGTTTTTTGTATACATAATTGAAAGTAAATAAATAAAAATTTCATTGTATTTGATAAATCAAAAAATACAGAATCAATAGGGTGTATTTTTCCCCTTTTTAAAATAAAACAAGATTTTGTGTTATATTTACTAATAATTATCTATTTATATGGAATCAGTAGGGTAAATGAATCATAAAAGCAATCTAGTTTTATTACGATGGGTTTTAATTAAAGTAAATTTTAAGTTTCTAAGAATCATATTGTAAATTTATATTAATTACATTGTTTAACCTTTTAGCAGACGCTCCGTTCCTACTAATGTGAAAGTTCTGGTGTGTTTCCTAGTCACAAAATTGTAGACTAAGAATTCCACGTAACAGTTAAAAACTAATTGTAATTTGATTAACGTTAATAATTACGATTAATTAATACAATTTGTCGAGAAAAAAAAACAATTTGAATATATTTCACTACAACGGCATATAATGAAAATGGTTTACGGAATGATATTAAAATAAAAAGCAATAAATTTACAGCTGTTTGGTCATACTGATGCTTTCTTATTAAGGTAAAAAAATTCGCATTGACATCTTAAATCAAACATTTTAGCACCAATTAATTGAAACATTTTATTTTTAATGAAACGTTTTAAATGAAATTTAATTTTTGATGTGATATAAAATAGAAAATGGAAGAACTGTGGAATAGAACATGGAACGTTATATGGAAGAAGAAGTATCGAAAGTTCATTCATAGTTTCGAAATGGTTTCATTGCAAAATGGTATTTAAAGCAAATAAGTTAGAAAATGTTTTGAATGTGCTTTGGCGAACTCAGCAGACTTCAAAGGACGAACAAAAGTAGATCAAAGGAAGTTGGAGAAATGACCAAGACCCACGTCCCGCAGTGGACTAATCGTTAGGCTATGGATCCCAGCAGATCATCGAAGTCACACATCCCTGGCCGCGGTCAGTGTGCGGGTGGGTGACCACTATGATCAGCACGTTAGGGGTCCTATTTCAGCTGCTCTACCGTAAAGTGCTCGACTTCACTGGCAGGTTGTCGGGCTGCCAAAGCAGGGTGCCATCTCCTCTGCAGAGAATCAAAATTGTAATTGCTAGTCTTCGAATCATTCTCGGGAATGTTTCCCAGACCGTCGCCAATAGCCCATTGTGTAGCTATACTGTGATGAAAATTAGGCTCAACAACTACCAAAGCCTAATATTTTAAATATCATTATACAAAATAAAATCAATTCCGTGAGACTCTCACATACTGATTAATCTCTTTTCGAAACTTAAGAAATTGCACTCTAAATTTTATAACAGTTTCACGTTCACTGATAAAAAGTATGGTTAAAATTACCGTACTGTGGTGAAAGTTACAGTGTTTCTGTTTCTATGGGAATAGCGAAAGCATGGTATTATTTACCGAAACACTTTTTAATAATTTTGGTAAAATTAACAACAAAATATGATTTTACAATATGTGATAAAACTTGGTTAATGTGATAAAACGCTGTAAATTTTTTATGATATCTTAGATCATGGCTTAAACTTATTTATTCCGTTGAGTTTATCTTTCAGTTCTGTATTTTTCACTAAATGTGTGGTAATAGGAATTATAGTTTAAAAATGTTACCAGAAATGTTATTGGCTTTTAGTGCAGTAATTTTACCAGATTTTTTCCCTACATTTCAATATTATTCTACATCGGCTTTCTCCTTGGAACATTTTACTGAATAAGATTAAAGTGGGTAAAAAATGATTAAAATTAAGTGTGAAAATATCACATGGCGAAAAATATTTACCATAGCTAAACTGTGTTAAATCAGAGTTATTTAAACACCTTAACAAATATTTTATACTTTGTTATAAGCAAATGTTGAACATAATACATACAGACTAATATTTGCCTTCACTGATTTATGCTGAGTCGCTGTGCATAAGCTTAAAATCATATCGGGACAAATATCTTGCAATTTGTTTAGTTGTGTAATAAAATGAGGCTGCGCGTGACTTAAAGAAATTTCATTAAAATTAAATGTATAATTAAATAATAATCTTCTTTTATTCCATACTGGGACACTGTATATTTAAATCTGTTTTAAAGTGATATATACTCCGTTTGTGCCGATCTGACAACTTCCTCCAATGGTCTGTAATGGGTTTTCTAAAAATAGTTTTAAACATTTTACTTAATTGTATTGATACTTTGATTGTGCGGTACTGCGATAAAATAGCTTCCAGATTAATCATTAAAATGACTGGTTAATATATTATACAAATGACACTCAATTTTATTTTTCCACTATTTACTTAATGCAAAACAATTGTAATGCCTAGATAAGCGCAATATGAAAAGTAATAATCTTAAGAAAATACACAAAACTATGAAGTTTCAAAATCTGATGTTATTAAGAATAATTTAAGTGGCCCATAGGTATCAACCTTCATCTAAATATAACGGGAAATTCGAATTCTATTGAGATATTTTTATTGGCATTTGAAACGGCTAATTAAGCGTTTCTTACAGATTTTTGTCATCAAATCCACCCAAAGCTTCTCAAAACACCGATCATGATGGTCCTACCATGCATCTAGGCAATGAGGTTGCGAACACCTACTGCGACAAAGCTTTTGCCAACTGCGATCGGAAAAAGTGCATCATTCGATCACCGAACTTCCCTGGATTGTATCTGAGGAATTTCACCTGTAATTACTACATCAGACAGGATTACATTCCACCAGGAAAAAGAGCACACATAGTGATATATCAATCTAATGAGTATAAAATATCTGTTAATACTGGTTCTTCTCTCATCAGATCTGATTCCAGGAAACTAATTAATCAAGGTATTCACATTTAGACTATCGTTTCATTTTTAAAACTGTTTTCAAAGTGTTTCATTGATATATATATATATATATATNTATATATATATATAAATAAGAATAAAAGAATATTTCGACAATCACTGTGCAGTGGTCTTTCCCCTAAGTGTTAGAAAAAAAATTCTTTTTATATTAAAGCAGAATATTTAATTAGGTTTATTCTTAGTTTCAAATTTATTATAAAGATTTTTTAGTGTTTATAAACCTTTGGCTGGAATTCGATTCACTGAGCTCAAGTTTTTTTTTAGCGAATTACCAACCATTTATTTGTGGTTTGGATTCCACTTCAAGCAGAGCGTGTTCATTTAATTTCATTTGAATGATTGTTTATTAATGTTGCAATTTTAAGGAATGGAAAAGTAAAAATGAATATTATGTTTTAATGAATAAACTTGAAATATCATAAAATTAAATTACAACATATACTTCTCATATAACATATCATAAAATTATGTAAAAAAATATTTCTTTGCTATTTGCAGGCATTGGTGGGCTCTCTACAGATTGTGCAGGAGATGTTGTTCGCATATATGATAGGATAAACTCAGAAGATGGTGGTGGTCGTGCTCTACTGACGGAATTTTGCGAATCTGGTTCTTTAACTGATGTTGTATCAAGTGGTCCAGAAATGCTCGTCCAGCTTTATAGTGCTCCATCAAATCTCCTATATGAATCAAGACTAGAATTAGAAGTCCGTGTTGAGTTTTCTGAAATAAGAAAAATGGAAAATGAATTCAGTTCTAATCGTGATGGAAAGTGTGAAATAGTGATTGATGGATCTGTCACCCGTACAGGTGTTATTAAAAGCCCTCAGCACAACATGCCTAAAAATACCACTTGTGAAGCAAAATTAATAGGAACCAGTTCCCAACGTATATGGTTATATTTTGTATCATATTTTGTACAGGATCAGGGCACTCTAGGCTTTGATCACCACCCATCAAGTACAGAGTTTCAAAGTAATGCCTTGACTGAAGATACTTGTGATATCAGTAGTTTAGAATTGTATTTACGCGACTCTCACAATAAGTCTTTTTCAAAAACAAGCCACGAAAAATCAATGAACAATAGTACTTATTTCCGTTTTTGCGAATCTACATTGCCTGTGATGTGCACCAGGGCTTCAGACTTTATTGATTTCATTCCAAAGAGGCCTTGCTTACCACCGAATGAAAGTTATTTTTCTGAATCATCCAAAGTTCTTATCCGTTACTCACTCAGTATGCGAGCTCCTAATGTAGTATCCTCACTTTCTGCTACATCTTTCATAATTCGATATGAGTTCGTAGATGTTGAGCCCTCTGAAAAACCGCAAAGGTTTGATGCAACTGCTGGAAGATCTTGCGGCAGATTTATAAATTCAAGTGTGAATCTTTCTGGTGAAATTTTTTCCCCACGGAATTTATTTTTGTATGGAAGAGGTGGGCAAGAAAAACTAACGTGTGATTACCATTTCTCGCTTCAAGCTAAAGAAAGAATCCTCATTGAAGTCGGCCACTTTCATTCTAATATACGTACATGTTCTACATCATTTGATCCCCGACTTCAGCGATTCGATTGTTATTTCAAAGGTGGAATTTCCTCTCATCAATCTTATTCAGAGAATACAATCCCGCACAGACATTCATTCCTTTCTTTCACCGAATCATTTGGCTCATCGTCAGTTCACGTTGGTTGCATTTGTGACCGAGCAATTTCTCTAGCCCCATCAATCATGTTTACTTCCTCTTCGTCTGAACAGTCATCAGCAATTACAATGACTTTTGATGTATCTGGAATGACTGCATTTGAGGATTACTCCAATTTCAGCTTTAGTGTTCGTTACAGAATTCTTCCTTCAAGTTCTAATGATCAAGAATGTAGTGTTTTACCAGATAAACTTGATAGAAATCGAACTCATGGAGGAGAACTGTCTTTCCAGGCAGCTCCTTCAAGCTCAAATATGGTAGGTGAGCATTTATTGCGTTGTCGCTGGTTTTTACAATCCTCCTTACCCGAAACTTACTTGTATTTACAATTGCGTGGTAAACCTTGTGATAATCCTTTATGGTTGGAGGAAAGAAATAGAGTTATATTGTATAGCAGCGAAAGTAACGGCCTCATGTATCCCAAAATGGTGCTATGTTTATCTTCTTTTCCATCAGAATCAGTTTCTTCAAAATCTGAGAGTGAAATTTTCGATTTCTTCTCTACGTCATGGTACAAAAATGATACCAACAACTCACAGTTTTTCATTAAGGATGAATCGATTTCTTCCAACAGTTACCAAGAGCGAAACCAAAGTATTCCAGATAAAATAATAGTAGAACTCATGGCTTTTAGAAAAGGTACCTTGACAGTGAAGTGGTTGGAAGTTTCCAAACCATCATCTAAACCAGTCACAGATGAAGTGCACTCAGATGGGGGCAGGACACTGAAGAACATAAATTGTCTCCATGAATGCCCAGAACTCAGTGCTTGCATCAACCCTGAACTCTGGTGTGATGGCGTTGTGCACTGTCCTCACAGTGGATTTGATGAATCCGCAGAAAACTGTCAGCAAACTTTAACACTGTATATTTCAGTGGGCTTGGGGTGCTTAGTTGTATTTATGGGAGTCGGGCTGTTAATATTCTTTTTGTTCCGTAAATACTCTCAGCAGCGTCGACTTCATCAACAGACTCATCCAGCGAGCTTTGAACATCTCCCTCACTGTCTTCAGCACAATCAGAACCGTGAGTTAACCACTAAGAACTTCTCAAATGCTTCTCCAGTTTTTATGGTGGGCGGTAGCATGAAAAAGAAAAAGAAGAAAAACAAAGATGAATTTCTTCGTCATATTCAAACAATGGAAGTTCGTTTCCCTGATCTCCATATGTGATGATATTTATTGTTTACAGATAAAAAACTACATGTTACATTGTTTCCTCGTGTCTATATTGTTTGAAATCTTTTTCTACGTCGGAATGTACCTTTTTACAATAAATTGCTCAAAAACCATTTATATCCTAAGTTTATTAATAAAAAACGAAGTGTGGCGTAACTACCGCTATAAATATTAAGTACCAATTCACTAGTATATAAGACATGTTAACTTGATTTTATCAAGAGGAGCCTTTTGATAGATGAAGGTTGACATAGTCGATCGAAGTAACATAAGTCAATTATAAATAACGGATAGAAATTAATCTTTATAAATCACATGAGGGTTGCTCAATCTAAATGAATCTGTTAGTGGTTCAATATTTACTTATAAATTTGAACTATAAACACTTTTTGTTTGTAAAATAATTATAATGAATAAAACTGTCCTCGACTAATTGAGGTACTTATCTGAAATACTGATCCTAGTTTAAAATATAAAATCAGTTTTTTATCAACTTGCGTTTTAAAAATTTGGTACAATTAGTTAGTTCCCAACAAAATTCTTTCAAAGTTTTGCTACAATGAATTGTGAAAAAGAGAAATAAGATAATTTCTTTTTCTGTATCTGTAACTGGTACACTGTTTATGGTTATAAAACTGGCTAAAAGAAATAGGCATATTTTTTGTTGGGCAGGTTGGTCAAAAACATTTCATTGCCCTTTGGTTCCATTGCTGCATAGATAGACGTTTTGGAGAAACATTGTTTTCATATTTGAAAGTTACAGAATTATAAAAACCAGTTTTTTTCTTTAAAGAAAAAAAAACTTTTTCAGAGACTATTCAATTTAAGAGGCATAATTTTTAAAAAATACTATTTCAGCAGGTCTAATCAATTTTTTATGAACTTTGAATTTTTTATTGAAGGAACGCAGGATATCTTGAACAAAAAAAAATCAACATATCGACATTCATTTTAAGCATAAAAACTATGAACTTTAAAGAAAACTTAGATTAGTTAAAAGTACAAAGATGACCACGGATATCTTCAAAACGAATGTATATCATAGAAAGTCTCTCACAAGGGAAACTAGGGAAGTGTGACTCGCCAATTTTGAAATAAACTAGTGGGATGTATGCCTTATGAGGAATAATTTTGGGGGGCAACATTCGTTTCGGCCCATAGAAGGTTCTGTGAGAGATAAAAAATAATTAGTGTCAGTTCTTTCATAACAGCGTACTTTCGACCGAAACTTGCAAAATGTTATAAATTAGGAATCGCGGGGGTCATCTCATGACCCCATGCATTGTACAAGTTCCAATTTTTAAAAATACTAGACACTTCTTAATTCTTTTTTTATTAGTGGCTGAGTTTTTCATCCTTATCATCCTTTCGTGAGTAATTAGAAATTTTCCGCATTTTTCCTAACACCAATAGACTTTTTATCAGTAATTGGGGTTATGGATTGACTCCATGCATATTTCAGTTTGTTCCACATATCATTTTATTTCTTGTAGCTGGGAGTTCCGTGCGTTATTCTTCGTTTCACATTAAAATGATTTCTATTTGTTTACTAGGTTTATGAAAGTCTTGCCACAATAAGTGCAAGAACTGCTTTTCTATGTAACAAAAATCCGTGCATAGCAAAGGAGTCGATTTTTATACGCACTACTGGATTAAACTGTGTATAAGAACCAACGATGGTACTTATTTGTGTGCGAAAATCAAAGACCTTGCTAGGTCACTTACTAGTGATTAACGCCAGTAAACGTACGGTCAATCCGAGTTTAAATAATGAACTTAAAATTCATATACTAAGTTTTTGCCTGAAATCACCAAAATAGAAATGTAAAAACTACTTCCTTAAAAGGGAGTTCTTCTCGAAAAATCTAAAACTACTGGAGATACTGGAAATGCCAATATTTTTCAAGGAACATATAATTTCCGTATTTAACTATTGCTTCAAATAAAACAAATATAAATGAATATTATTATATACATTCACGTCTGTATTAAAACCATCATATCGAGTGCAAAAATTAATATATAATAACAAAATATATAATAACAAAATATGTAATAAAATAATGTATAATTAAAATAACATAATATAATAATATAATGTATATTATATAATTATAATAACATCTAATATAATATATGATTACAGTGATATAATATAATAATTTATAAACTAATTACTAGAAATTCACGAATATCAGGTTTTATTAAATTTGATCACAAAAGGAATGTTAAAAATCTTCAAATAGTTAAGAAATAAATACTCAACGTCTAAGACTAAAAAGCGTTAGATTTTCCAATAAAAAATTTAACGTTTTTTTAGCAACGCATTAACGGATTGCATTTGGGGTCATTTCATGACCTCTGCGCCTCTTATGTTTTTCAGGAGGAGTGCATTCTTCTTTGTTCATAAAAATTCATTACAATTACAAAAAATTTAAAATTAAGAAGAAAAAAACTCTATAAGATGTTTAAAAAAAATGCTTATCAACATTGTGATAGCGTAGTCCAAAACGAAGGGTTATTATTCTTCGCAATTCCTTTGCATAAGAATTATTCTTATATGAAGATATTCAAAATGAAGAATTTTAATAATTTAGATTTTATATCCTTATTATTCATGTTTAAAATATACTAAATATTTATTTGAAAAATAAACTGCATCCAATAAGGTAAATAATATTTAGTTCTACGTCTTAGAACGATATACACCGAAGAACCATTACATTATGACCACCCTCCATCTATAACAATGGGCTCGCCCTGGTTTTCATGGTTTCTCGCCTAGGAACAATGTTTTCATGGGGCACATTAGGACCCATAATCCTCATAGAACAATCCCTGACCTCTGTAAACTACTTAAACATAGTTGCAGATTAGGTTCACCCATTCATGGCAGCAGTTTTTCCTACGGGGGATGGTGTTTACCAACAGGATAATGCACCATGTCATAAAGGTCGAATCGTCGAGAAACATTCCAGTGACTCTCAAGTCATGTCTTGGCCCCCAAATTCACCTGACCTTATTGTAATAGAGCATTTGTGGTCCTACTTGGAAAACCAAATTCGTTCTGCCACGCTACCCCCTCGCAATGTGAGGGAATTGCAGGACCAGTTTTTGGACGCTTGGTACCAAATACCTCAGACTACCTATCAGCACCTTGTGAAATCAATGCCACGGCAGGTGCTAGCAGTTTTGAGGGCTAAAGGCAGTCCTACATGATATTAGAAGGGTGGTCATAATGTAATGGCTCTTTGGTGTATAATAAAATAAATTTTTAAATGTTTAGAAATATGGAGTAAAACTTAACACCATTTTATTACCTCTCATAGAACTAATGGTAACAAAAAGTATAAAAACCTAAATGAAACTTATCAATCTACTATTAATCTTACTAATAAAAACCGGGAGACAGGCAAATAAAAAAAAATAGCGTTTTTCGAAAATATTTTCATTTATCCCATAGAAAAACCGTGTGCACTATATAATGCATCATTCTTTTGATGTTTGTTGTCCCTAACTCTTTAGGATGAAGAAATGGAAATTTCGTCTTTGACTACGAGATTTTCGACCATCTGGTATGGCCATTTCTTGAATTTTCCTTACATCATTTCCTCAAGTATAGTCTTTATTCGAGCAAGGTCTTTTTTTTTCATCTTGAAAGCACTTCATCTTCTTCACATTCGCTTATAAAAAAAGATAGAGAGCGAAGAAAGAGGATCAGTATAGGAAGAATATAAATGGAAAGGGTAATTTAGTGTGGAAACAACTGCCAGGACGTGAACTGGGTTTCTAAAATTGCGTAAACATCGGAGAACTCTACGTTTTGCATGAGAATGATGTCATAGAGTGCATATCAGATAAAAAAAAATAGTGCTTTATTTTTAAGCAAAAACAAACTATCTGGTCCAATTGTTTGTTTTGAACAGTTGAATGTCGATATGTATATGAAAGGTTCGAATGCTATAATTTTCTACTTTTCAACATGCTTTGTTTTAGGAGAAGGCGAGAAATTTATAGGCGTTACTTCATCTAAAAGCATTTTAGTTATAGATAAGAGATACTCAAACATCTTTTATCGATAGTTTACAAGTATTTTTGATGAAGTAAGTTTCTTGCTGTCGCTTATAACGAAACATGTTGAAAATGAAAATTAACTTTTCATGATTAAGTAAAAATAAACTATTTATTTTGATTGTTCGACTAAAACAATTGAATGGCGATATACCCATGAATTGCTTGAATGGTACAATTTTCAACAAATTTCATTATAAAAGACAGCGAGAAACTTATCTGTGTTGCTTCATCTGTTCATTTATTATTTATTGATTTTTTTTATCAATAACTAACTCGTAAATGTTGTTTGTTAAACGAGGAGATCAATTGTTTGTTTTCTTTAAGGGAAAAACATATCTACAATGTAAATAAACTAAATTTTGAAATTCGAAATGAATAGCAATTTTATTAACATTTTTCTTTATACATCAAATTTAAATAACAGATTCAGAATCTCGAAATTCTAATGGAATCTAGAAATTTTAATCTCGAGTTGCAATTGGAAAATAGCCAGTAAATTAATATATATTTTATATCATGGTGCTTCAGATATTTTATATCACTCTTGGTGATTGAAAAAGAAAATAGAAAAAATTCTAGCAAAGTTTTTTTTCGAAAATCTTACACTGATAATGCTTATTTTTAAATTTAGAGTTAGGAAATTTTATAATTTTTCTGGAAAAAGAAAACTTGTTATTTTGTACAGTAATAATTTAGTATGTTAAACTTAAGTTAAAGCTCCTTGAACTTGAGTAAAAAATTTACATAGAAAGTATTGAGAATAAAAAATTTCTCTCTATTAAAAAAAATCATAAGTACCGCTGTTGTTGTACAGTCCGCAAAAAAAAAAGATATCACCCTGAATAACTTTTGTTCTAATGATCGGATTTTCACGATCTAAGTGTCAATCTTAATGGTTCCCGGGGGTGACCTCAAATATGCTAATTAATTAGTGCTAACTATTAATTAAGTTACGAAATCAGACACAAAAACGTACTTTCTCTGAATAAACATGTATTTTTTTTTACATATTTGGAATCCTGACCTTCAAAA